AGATTGGTAATGGTTTGTGTTGAATAATTGGTTAGTTAACGGTTTGAATTTATGTTGGGATAATTGAATTGTAGGCCTTTTGTGAAGAATTAAAATTTCATGTTTATGTACATTTGTGTGATACGGTTTGGCGCTTTAGGAACCAAATTATTCAAAATGTGACCTTGGGCGAAAATATGCCAGGTAGAAGATGGTGGCTTGGGCTTAAAAAGTAGGAGGCCCGTTTTGATTTGTCTTGTTCTGAAGCTGCCCAAACAAATATGGATATGGGCCGTCCAGCCTGGAATCTCAATAGAAAACCACGTTCGTGGGCTCGGCCGTTGACAAATCCGAAACTAATCAATTGGATGAAATCTAGTGCCATCCTTCAAATATATGTTCTGTTTGATATGAAAAAAAATTAAAAATAATAATATTTCGATAAATAAGAAGTTTTTATTTTGAAGGTGAAGAATTATAAGAATATGTATTCTTGAGGACTAGGCTAACTTGAAAATTACCACAATTTATGTTAGATTTTGTTTACTTTTGCTCGAAAATTAGAAAACTGACGTTAACAAGAAGCACCACTCTTCATTAGCCTCTTTGTAATGATAATCAAAAAATTTGAGCCGTGTTGATTACCTAAATACTAATCCGTTCATATACTTAGAATGATTAAAAGATAAAATATTATCAGAGTACAAATACTATATGGGAACTTTTGAATTTCATATTAATAAACTCTTCAAAATGCTGATTTTTCACGTGCTAACTGACATCATCAGCTTATAAAAACAGCGAGAAACTCTTGAATTACAATTTTCCCAAAATGCATAAAGAAATTATCAAGTTTTTTTTACTCATTTTTGAGCAATAGCTGTATTACTTATTAGCGGTCAAAGGGCCATGCATAGAAATAGAATGTATGAATATTTGAATAAGAAAAAGATGGAAAATTGACCCTTTCCAATTTAAGTGATAATTTTGAGCTTTCCTTGTTTTAGCTCGACTCAATTTATTTAATAAACAAATTTAATTAGTTGTTAGAATTTGACTCTCATTTAAGCAGATGAACGAACTCAGCCTTTTATAAACTCATTCGAGTTGTGTTTGCGAACCGTTCAATTACCACATCATATTAGTTGGTTAACTTTGTAACGCTATATCTTTTTCTATTTGTTTTATTCTTTATTTTATAAAAAAGCATACAAAATAGAAATAAATTAAAAATAGAATTGTGGGGACATGTCCCGCAAAATTGGAATTAAAATATCAAAGTTGATCAATTAAAAAACACCATCTAAATTGCCCTAATACAGACACCCTATTGGGAACTAGGCCTATAGGTTATGGTATATTTACACTTACAGCTAATTCAGTAGCCCATACAACTGTGAGAACATGAATAAATTAAACCTATTTGAGCTGAGAAAATATGCTAGTGATAGGTCCATTTCAAATGAATACAATCTATTTAATTTGTGAAATGTATTTTTGTTTATTTTTTTTTTCAAATGATCAAATCTTAATACTATTTTTTTCTTCGCCTATTTGTTTGTGCAATTGACTTGACAATTTGATTCCTTACAGGTCATATCATATTTGCAGATTTACATATATTTATTTGGACTTCACGTGATTTAATTTCTACCCATCTTTTTCTCTTTTCCTTTAGGAATGCGCAACAAACAACTGAACAAGCATGAATATATGCTCACATTATTTGGTCATGTTTGTAAGTTATAATTATGCACTTAGCAATTTTTAGCTGTAAGTAAAGAGTTTATAAAATTTATAAGTCCTTGATAAATAAAACTATGTTACAATTTGAATTGAGAACCGTTTGGAAAAAAATTAAGATTCCTGAAAAATATTGATCTATATTTGATTTACATTAATTTATCGTCAATCGATGTAAGGCGCAATAAATGCAGAATATTGGTCAAAACAAAATACAATCCCAAAACCAAAGTACCAACACAAGGCTATTCAAAATAAATATAATGTAAACAAAGAGTTTTACCAAGCCGAAAATATAACTTTATAATTATTTAATGTCTTGATCATATTCAAATGCATATAACAAATATCATATTTAGTAATTAAGAAGCTCAATCAATAACAAATCACAACAAAAATTATTGGTTGCAAAAGTCATTATCATAATTCTAACATTTTTAGTAATTATATGCCCATAATTTATGACACCCTTTGATTTTTTTATTTTTTCTCATTGTTTTCAAGTGAAGACATAGAAAAGTTGGCCATTATCTTAGAATTTTATCCACCACAGGCCACAAGACCACATTTGTTGGGAGTGGGGAATCATGTGTTTTGTTGGTTAGTGTGGAAGTGAAGAACCCAATCTCTTTCTTTACAAAAAGACTTAGAAGATACAAAATAAAAATATAATAATAGAGCCACAAAACTAACTTCCAAGGAAGGTCACAAATATATTACTACAATATATATAGATATAATTGAGTTTAGCATATCAAAGCTATCACTTTCTACTAATTAAACCCAGAAAAGGCCACAGTTTGTTGAGAATATTTGCACACCATTGATTTTAGCCATGCAGCTTGCCCTGTTTCCAACGCTAATGTTTCTATTGACTTATTTCATATTTTTTTTTTGGTAGTATGCAAAGATTTTTAATTACTTTTTAAAATTTTAGAAATTCTAGTGTATTCAATTTATATTTGTTAATACTTTTTAAGACTTTTAAAAGTCTAGAGGTATTCAGTTGAGATTTTAAAAAGTTTTACAAAATCTTGAGGCATTTAACTTATTTGAGACTATGATTTGTTAAGATTTTCTAAGATTTGATGGAATTTCTAAAGAAAAAACCTTATACGAAATCTCACTTTAAATCCCACCTCCAACCTTAAGATTTCACAAAATTCTTTCAAAATTTGAAAATTTTAAAAAGTCTCAAATCTTTAAGTATCAAAATGTCACTTAAAATCTCAATTGAATACAACCCATAAGACTAATTGAATCTCAATGAGATGAAAAATAATACTTTTGAAATGAATTTGATTACACATCAAATATGAAGTAATTATGGTGCTATGAAATCAACAACTTACTTCGTAGGATGGGCCAAAAATTGTACCTTGTTAGTTCAATTTTGGAAGAGAAACAATGTTGAGGATTATTTTTTTATAATTTGTATATATATTTATTTCTCAAAATTTGGGATGATGCTACGCAAACATAATAGATGACTATTCAACATCTACTCTTATACATCATTTATGTTGTCAATATACTATGTAGTCTATGTTATATTAGCATTAATAATAACAATAATAATAATAATAATAATAATAATAATAATAATAATAATAATAATAAGTCCAATAAGCCTTTTTTCATGATTGTACTTGTTTTACTCGGAAAAGAAAGCTTCTGCCTTGTGGTGCATGCATCAATCACGAAAAGCTTCATATTGTTTGGCTAATTTTTCTTTCTATTTATTCTCTCATTTTGAATTGATTTACACTGACTTGTAGATGGGCTTTTTAAGTAAAATTTTCTGCCCACAGTTTATAAAAGTAGCAAAAAGATTGGCACCGTATTAATAGCAGTGTTGTGGTTATTTATTTACCTTTGGGTTATGGACTTGTAGGTTTAAATAGCGAAGTAATGATGACCAGTAAAAAGTTAGAAGAGTAAAAGTGAAAAAGGCTTTTCTTTGGTCTTGGATTGAGTGCATATAAAGCCCTGTTCTGAAAGTACAAAACCCAAAGCCACAGGTCTTGCCCAGATTGTCAATCTGCTTACCCCACTTGTACTGTACGGAATGTATTTTTCAATTTGTTTTTCCAGTGCTTATTTCATAAATAAGATTGTTTGTCTTGCTCGAAAATATCCAACAAAAATTATGAATAGCCCAATAGGTATTATTGTAAAAAATATGTAAACAAGAACTTAATAATTGCAATTATATGGCAATATTATATAACATTCGATCCTCTGCATTTGTACAAATGTAAATAAAGTATAGTACAATACCCGTGTATTACATAGGTATTGAATTAGAATGCTTTTGTAAAAGATATTAAATTTTTTTATTTTTTTAAAAACTAAGATAATTTAATTTTATATAATACATTATTTTGGGTTTTAATTAAATTGTCAAATTATATTTTTTTAATCATAATAATTAAACACCCGTACATTATATGAAAATGTCAACCCGTATTAAATTTTTTTACTTATATCATATAAAAATATCGATATTATTTACTATTACATAAGTACAAAAATATATATCTTAAATAAATAGAAATAATATGGTGATATGTATATGCATAACTGTAAAATATGTTTATTTAATACTAAACAAAATAGATTAATTTTTTTACATAATTAGATGCCTAATACATCAAGTGTCGTATCAGTCGTGCTTCACATTTTTTAACTTTATATATAATTTTATAATTTAGATAAATAATTATTTATTTTTATTACATTGACAACATACCAATTAGATTTGAAATAAATATCATTTTTAAAAGAATACATACAATTTCTATTACTTTATAGTATAATATATAGTTTTATTTGATATAATTTAATCTAGTTTGATAAATAAATTTAAATTTTATTTATAAGGATATATATTACTGTTTTGATAAATAAATTTAAATTTTATTTATAAGGATATATATAAATAGTAAAATACAAACTGACTTCATAATATCAATTCAAATGCAACACACTAATTAAGATTTTTTTTTTCTTGACAATATTAACCCTATGATAGGTCGAAAAATGTGCGCGTTTTATATATTTAATAGTGTATTTTTTATACACTTAATTTAATCGCACGTTTATATTTTTCGACTTATTTATTATTTCGATGGATTTATTTTTGCTTTGATATTTTATGTATTATTTTTAATATTTTAGGATATTTTATGGATGCGAACCTACGGAGATATAAGTGGTCAATCGTCAAGACTTTCCAGTACCGGACCAATTAAAGGCCACAAACAGTATAATCCAAGCTGACCCATTACGCATACCACGTGATAATTTGCATGACTTCATTTATTTTATTTGATGGGCCAAATAATTTGAGATGAAATTGAAGCCCAAGCATTCAATTTTAAAGAAAGACTCACGCAGCTAACACAGGAGGAGGAATTTATTTGGAAGGAGTGACATGGCTGGAGAGTTTAATGGGTTGAGGACTTTGAGTCTTAAGGGTTGTAATTGAATTAGAGCCATTAGCACGCGGAGGATTTTTTTTTTACGGGAAGAAAAGCAAGAGACCAACAGAGACTTATACACGCCACATAGCGGAGTTATTTGCGAGAGAAAAAGGATTGGGAGTATACACACGCGGAGGGAAGCCGCACACGCACATGAGGGAGATCTTCATTCTCTCTCTCTTATTTATCTTTTATTTATTTTTATTAGTATGTTAGAGTAGGATTTTTATCCAGTTTGAGGGGATATTTGAACCCTAACTTGAGTTTGTCTATGAATTTGAGGATTTATTTTTATCGTTGATTAATCGTGACGCCGTATTTATTTTGTCGATGAGTTGATTCATTTTATTTGTGTATCGTGTTTATGAATTATGGTGTTTGATTTGGTTTGGCCAACTAGGTTGAATATTTATGATTTAATTGGTAGATTCGAGTCTTTAATCCCTAATTGTTATTGTCTCGTTCGTTAGTAGTAAACTAAGGGTCGTGCATCTCTAGGGTAGCATGAACATAGGTTAAATGGTCCGAGCTTTTGCGTCCATTGCTTAGACTGACCTATTTTCCTCAAAATTAATGCTGCTAGTGTATTAAATCTACAGAGCTTATTCTAGGTTGTCCACTAGTTAGGTTTAGTCGAAGAGCCTATTTTGATTAAATATTCGGTAAAGGAAAATTCGGTTAACAGAGCTTGTTGTTAGCTAGGGTTGGTAATTTATTAGCATTTTAAAGAAAGCGTCGAAATTAATTAACGGTAGATTGAGATTGGGTGATAACTGAACCGAAAACTGGACTTCTCTTATTTTATTTTGTTATTTTTGTTTTTATTAAGCCAATCCCCCTACCTTTATTGCTTTCTTAGTTTAGTTCAATTAATACGAAATTATCACGATTTAATTCCTGCTCCTCGTTGGATCGACCCTTACTCGCCACTACTACTAGCTAGTAGAGGTTAGTCGAGGAAAAATATATAAATTTAAATTTGCCGCGTCGCGACACGCGGTCACCCTATTTAATGGATGTCATGGGAAATGATGGAGATGAGATATGAAGAGACACTGTTTATTAGATGGAGGGTTACAAATGGAAATATATGAACAAAATATTTAGAACGACATTTATTTTATCAATGATCAATTAAGCCAGAGTGACAAATAATAAAAATAGGAGAGAGTATATATATTATTATATATTTTAGTATGACACATGATAATTGTGCGACTTATATGTGTTATATTATAATATATTTTCTACTTTTAACATACAACTACACTAAACATAAATATATTGATTGATAAATAATTTTATTTTTTAATTAATTTTAATAAATAATTTTATTATTATTATAAAGATAAATATAATTTATTTATTTTATATATACAATATGGATGTCAAATCGAAGCTCATCAAAAGATGATTAGTTTGATATATTATATATGTAAAACCGATAAGAAATACAAAAGTTATCAACTTTTAAAATATATTTGCAATTCAATGGTTATAATAGGAAATAATATTAAAATACAATTAATACAAATATTATAGGAAATGATATTAAAATACAATTAATACAAATATTAATTTGTATCCAAGCCTTAACTCCAAAACATGATTTTTTGTCAAATAGAATTCTGAAGCATGAGAGTTTGCCACGTAGGCTCAGCGCATTCTGAAATTATATATAGAAGGGATAATGGATGCATATAATATTAAAATAATTAGATAATTGTATTATGTTTTAAAAAATTTGATAATTGGTAAAATATATAGTATTATATCTATTTAACTACATATGAATCTTTTTATTGATTGCATAAAATATATTAAATTGTGTAATTTTTGTAATTTGAGATATGAAATAATGAATTTTTTTTATAACTGAAAACTTACCATGTTGATTTTAGAATAAATAACTTAATCAAAATGTTTTACAATATAAATTTTTTATGTTTATGTAACTTTATATATCATTTAGTACATAATTAGTCAACTTTAATAATAATATTTATATGATATGATAGAACAAAAAATATAATTATTATTCAATTAACATATAATATGACGATTTTTGTCTTCATTAACTTAACAAAGAGCAATAAAGAAAATATTTTAGCATTAATAGGATAGAGTGGATTAATGTAAAAAATATAATAATATCATAGGTTTGTAACGAAAAAAATACGAGAAACAAAAATAATTTTATTAATTGCTTTGTTAAAAGTTATATATATATATATATATATATAAACATAAATAAAAATCAAATTATTTGTGTTTCAGATCTTTAAGAACAAAAATAAAAAATAAAAAATTGTACCAATCATATTGTCTTCCAACAATGCTACGTTTGATGCAGTCTTACCAAAATTATAAAACAATGGCAGTTACATACCACAATGCATTTGCTACCAAATATATAATTAATTCAGTTAATGATCTCATAAAAAAATTAATTAACAAAGTGTAACAATTTTAGGTGAAAAAATATATTTCATATTACTGTGGTCACCGGGCCGTTTCGGCCAAATCGCGGCTGGGTGCTTCGTTTCCGTCTCTAGGAGTTTTGCGGGTGGTTGGCTAGCGGCGATTTTTGCTCCTCGGTCATTCCCCCGCCTCAGGCAAGGTCGTCGGCTAATCTTGAAAGGCCCAGCCGCGAGAGTTCGTCGGTCCGTTTGGAGGCTCGATCTGTCTGGCCGCGTTCTTCCTGGAGACTGACTTTGGCTTCGGCAAGCCCAACTCGTTGTCCCGCTGGGCTGCAGATCCGGGCCGCAGGTCCTTCGGGCCGGGCCGCTCGGTTGCAGGCTGTAGTCTCCTCGATCTCTCTCTTCTAGTCCTCCGGCGGGTTTGTGATGGCTCTCCTTCTATTCCCCGGCAGTGAAGGTCTTCGGGATTCAAATTTGGGTTGAAAATTCGTTTAGGCGGTAGAGTGACCGCAGTTTTCAGGTTTGGAGCTTAGTTTTGGTGCTCGGTTGGTTTTCTTTGTTGGGGTGTGACTTGGTAGACGATTCAAGTGGCTTTGGGTTTCAGCTGTTAGGTTTAGGGGAGGTTTTACTTTATTGTGTTGTTTATTAGGTGTGTTGCTTTTGATTTTTTTTTTTTTGTTTTCCTTCGTTTAGTGCAGCTGTGTCTGCTTTTGGTGCAACTTTGTCTGCTTTTCTCTCATATATGGAGTTTTGTTTTGCGGTTGTTCGCCTCCGTAATGGAGTTTGTACCCCTTGTGTGTCGATAAGGGGGTTGGTCCAGTCTTCTGGTTCCAGTGTGTCACTTGACACTTTGGTTGTACTCTTCTGAGTTTTTAGTTATTAATATAATTGACGTTTGAGGAAAAAGAAAAAAAGTTGATCATTCAAACAACTATAAGCTAATTCAATCTAATCAATCACCCGGTAGGTAAAAGCTGCTAATTCAATAATTCTATCAACTATCCAATATAAGAGTATTTGTAAAAGTTGGTAGAGCATATACATGGTACCACTATGAAAATTGATGATAACAAATGGACCTAGGAAAACTTAGTGGAAAATGTCAGGTTTTTAGAAGTTGTGAGGTGGGATAATGCTGACAATGAAAAAGGAATAGTGCACTCATATTACTTATTAGACATGAGATATAAAGCCAAAAAGCAGCAGCTTTAGGTTTTTCCTCAGCTGCAAAATGGCAAATAGTAGTAATGGCAATACTAGCTTCTCTTCACTGTTCATCTATTTCCACAGTTTATCATGAAAGCATTTATTACAAAAACCCACCTCTATTCATAGCATTCAATAATCATGTTAAAAGAAAATGACGCACAACTAATTTTAAAGAAAAGTGAAACTTTTACAAGTCACTTTTGTATCCACAACTATTTCAATGACTGCATCGAAACGAGATCATTCAGAAATTCGAGCAGAACGGAAAAAAGATTAAAGTACTTAAATTGAAATAAAATCTGTACAGNATGGTGTCTTAAACCTTAACCCCTTAACATTATTCAACTTCTTCATTCTTCTTTAACCCTTACTTAAATATAAGCCATAATGATCCAGTTACCAACTTACCATTGATCAACAACTTAATGCCTCGTATTTCACCGTAATCGGCCGATTAAACCCCGCCTGAGACAGCAAATTACCGACCACCGCAAGATCCCGACAGAAAACCCCTTGGAAAACTGAGGCCGGTGGAGATGTGATCGGGCCCTTTTTGCTGTCATTCCAATTCATCTTATCGTTTTTCTTATTTTTATCATTGTTGTTGTTCCTCTTGTCATTAAGAACAGTTGCCGGAGTTTCCACGGTTCCAGCAACAACCGGTGGCGGCAAAACGGCAGCTCCGGCCATTTTCCTCAACTTTTCAACCGCCTCATCGTCTAAAATCGTGGCCATCAAACACGTATAACCCTTCTGAATCAACCTATACAGCAACAAAGCCGACATTCTCGCTCGATCCTTGACCGAGTCGATTTCCTTCTCATCCGCAAACTCACACCGTTCGATGAAGCCCGATGACTTATCGGGCTTGTGCTTCAACATCAACAGCAAATGGGCCCTCTCCAATTCGGACCTCGAACATCCCCTTCGAAGCCCAATCAACGCGTAATAATCCACATTCATCGTCTCTCCAGAAGCCAGTCTCTGCTTCAATTGCTGGATTTTAGAAGCTAACGAGCACAATCTTCCCGGAATTTCTCTGTACTGAACGCTTTGCCTCCTCCAGATAGGGCCCGGAAGCTTCCGGTCACGGAGGATTGAGTTGTAGAGGAGTTTGAGGTGTTCGAGGTCGTGAAGGCTGTCAGGCAAGCACCGAATGGTTTCGAAAAGTTGGGCTCGTGTGGTGAGGGCTTCGATTGAGGATGTGTCGAGAGCAAGGGCTTTGTTGCAGTCGGCAATGGCTTCGGCTATACGGCCGGCGGATCTGTAGGCGGTGGCTCGGTGGACGTAGCATTCGGAGAGGAAGCTTTGGGGGGCTCCACGGCGGCCGTCGAGGATTTTGGAGAAGTGGCGGATGGCCTCTGAGTGGAGGCCGGCGTCGAGGGCGGCGGCGGCGGCGGTTTTGCGGCGGATGAGGAGCTTGATGTGGCAGATGAGGTTGGTGGTGGTGTCGGATTCGGGGCGGGGAGGGTTCTGGGGATGGGAGGAGTCGCCGGAGAGTTTGTTGAAGGAGAAGATGTCGTCGGGGAGGGAGATGCTCTCGCGGCGGAAGGCGGCGGCGGCGAGGCGTTTTCCGGTCTGGAGGAGGACCAACGCCTCTTCCATCAGGCCGAGGTGGCAGCAGGCCTGGCCTAGAACCGAGTACCTGTTTTGAGTCAACTCAGACGACTTAGTGAAATTCGAGATGAATTTATTGCGATTCAGTGAAAATTTGAGGAAATTAAATGCTGATTTTCGAGTTTCGAGGTAAGATTTAGGTGAGATTTCATCAATTGATGGGGAGTAATTTTCGCGTGATTTAGAAGGAAATGTGTATGTGCCTGCAGAATTTGTTTACGGTTTACCTCCATTGACCTCCTTTCTCGACGTTTTTGCAGAGCCCGGCCATGACCTTCTTCTTCAAATCCGACACGGAGAAGCACCTGAAAGCCGGCTCGGACTCGCCGTGAGAGTGGCCGTCGGAGGATAGAAGCTTGACTCGCTCCCTAGACAGCTGCGTGGACGAGCCGTCCGACGATCCGGACGACGAGGTTTCGTCTCCGACCGGCACTCTCAAGCTGGGGATGTAATCCTGCAGCATATCGGCCACATCCTTGAACCGCCGGAGGTGCAGCAGGCACCGCGCCTTCATCTCCAACGCCACTTCCATCCGCGGCGCCACCGCGAGCGCCGCCTCCAGCAGCCCCAGCGCCGCCGCAACATCGCCCTGCTCCTGCGTCGCAATCAGCATCTTAGCTTCCCTCACGTACCTCTCCACCATCTGTGAAATGCAATTCACGAGTAAATCGAAAGATCGATTCGATACCCCACCCACAAATCACAAAGACAAACTGAAACAATCAAATCGAGGGAGCTTAATTTTTACCTTTCTGCTGGTGAGCCACCAGTGTTTCTTCTCGCCGGAGGCGGGTGAAAGGGACGCGGCGGCCATGAACGGAGTGCTGGAATCGACCATTAAACGAAGAACATAATCTTACCTCCCACGGCGAGGAGTGAGAAAGTAGAGAGAGAAAAAAATGGGAGGTAGATAGAGAAGGCGGAGGTGGAGTGGAGAAGTGTTGGAAGAGGTGTGGGATAGAGAGAGGGCTTTAAACAACAAATGCCAGCTTTGACCTGAAAAAGAGAGAGAAAGCTTTTTGATCCTTCTGCTATCTCACGCTGGCACCACACTTTGCTGCCTTTCTCTCTCTAGACTTTACACTGCATTTATAGAGAGAGTTTGAGAGTCTACCTTGCGTATCCTTTTCTCTTTACTAATTTACTATTTATTTATTGTTTGTTTAAATTATGAGATTTAAGAGTAGATCTAAATGAAACGAGCCGGTTGTGAACTCAATTCAAATCGTTTAAGTTGGCGAGTCAAGCTAAATATTGACTTGTTAAGCTCGAAAATAATAATTTTTGTATAAGTTTCTATAATTCAATTCATTAAGCCTTATGCTTGACTTGTTAATGTTGATAAACGAGTCAAACTCAAGCTCGTTTATCGATTTTGTTTGTTAACGAATCTAGTTCGATTCAATAAACGCTTCAGCCCGAGTTCGAACTCGCCTCTACTATAGCCAAATGAAAATTTGAATTGTCACCATGTAAAATTTTGTGGAAATAGTGGTCATTCTTTGTAATATTTTAAAAATTTAAGAAACGATATTTTCATAAATTTGTGGTAGGATTGTAAATGAGTTGAATTGAAGCAAGCTGCTAAACTATACTGGTCATCTATTACTTACGTGAACACTTTTATTTATCGAGCCTTATATGAGTTCGAGATCGACTTGTTTATCAAACGAATCGAGTTAGTTCTCGAACCTTAGAGTTGAGTCGAGCTCGCAAGCAGTTTGGTTCGCTTAACTATTTTATCTTGTATGATTCCTCAAAGCAATAATGAAATGATTTATCTACCATATTCAAGAAATAAAGATAAAACAATTTTCAAGAATAGCCGTGACATTGTGCATAATCATTTTCTAAATTGAACACCCATTGGTTTCAATGAAGGAATAAGAAGTGACCCTCCGTTGAAATACGTAAAATTATTTCAAGTTCGACTTTATATGTGTGGGAACAACTATAATTTCACATGTTATAATAACTCTTTTTCAATTCACATGATTTTTTATAAAAGTCAAAATAATTCAATGCGACGGCACAACAAATTGTAAGTATGTGAAAAATAATGAAAAAAAAAAAATCATCACCTTTAATGTTTTGGTGTTTTTTGAGTTTTGTTGGTTGACTAATGTGAATAAAAGATGTACATGGCAATTTCGTGTAGCATTTGTACATTAATTTTCAACTTATAGAATCCCATGCGCCTCCAAATTTTATTTTATTTTATTTATATTTATATATATAATATAAATAAAATCGTCATGCTTGCATTAATTTTTCTTACCTAAAAAAAAGGCTTCGTGATTGCAAAACAAAAAGAAGCAAACAAAAATGAAAATCAAACAAGGGCTTTTAGGTTATCCCCAACAGGAAATAGTGACAAAACTCTCAAAACTCTAGTGAGTGTTCATATTCTACAACATCCACAAATCACAATTGAGGGTGAGAATTTCTATTTCAAAATCATGTTTTTATTTATATTTCATTCTATTAAATTGTTGGCATGTGTTCGTGATAACGTCATTGTTATACATAAGTCAATCATATAATGGAATGAAACATGAACTGAAACACGATTTCGAAACAAAAAGAAATTCCCCTTAGTTGACTATATTTCATGGGGCTATTCGAAAAATTATTGAATAAGAAAATAATTTGGCTAAATTAAGTAGTTCATTTTATTATTATTTATAACACTCTTTACCATGTTTGTGTTTGTCCTACAAATGCATATGTAATCATGATTTTGAATGAAGTAATTAAGTAGTAATTTTGAAGAGATAAGCATGTAACCCCTAATAAGTTTTGGTGTGATGAATCAAACATTGTGATATTAATAACTTGAGCGCAATTTTTTAGTTTAGATATATTAAACATGATTTGTTAAGATGGCTATTCCTCATTAATAGGCTGGCTAAGTAGCTAAGTGAGGTATTTAAATTTGTGTTGGCCTACAAAAACATGACATGAGAAATTAATTAAAGAGTAAGAATGCCATTAGTTAGATACAATAGTTAAATAAATATTTTGTTTTAATAAAGTAACGTTCATATGAGTAGCATGCAAGAGTTATACGATATTATTAAAAAAACAATTAATACAATATTTCATATTAAATTATAATTAAACTCTTCTTATAAACAAATATTAAATAATTAAATATACATACAATCTTAAATAAAAATACATAAATTAATGATATTTTAAACGCAGGATGAATATAATATGCATAAATAAAGTGATAAGATTATATATAACTAATCTTACCAAATTATTGTAAAATTTTCTTAACAGGTGGTACTATAATTTAAGAGTACTTATTGCATAATACAACACAACTAAGAAATAAAACACATTTTTCAAATAAAAAAGTTTTAATCAATGATATTTATAATTAGAAGTATTAACAAAAATAAGAAAATATAATTATATAGATCAAATTAAATATATGAATTAATTCTAGATAAAAAAATATGTTATTACAATTATTTAATAATATAATTAAATTTTGTATTAGATATAATAAACTAGTGAAATTAAAATCAGGTTGAAAATTAACGTAAAGATATCGTACTAAATATTTAGATAGAATTATTTTTTAAATAATAATTTAGATAAAACATAGAATTATTTATATAGTTTAATAAAATTTCAAAGTTATATAAAACTTTAATTTTTTTTTTTCCAATATTTATCAACTATTTTAGTATTTTACAATACTCTCTTGTTACAATTTCAATAATCCAACCAATTACCTCAATATTTGTACAAATTATATGCTATATTTTACCTAAATACCAATAATTTTTCATACGTTAGAATATAGATAATAAACGATAATTTTTCATCAATCTTGTTCACCTCTCCCAAACGTTAGAATACAGATAATAAACATGAATCACTCAACCAAAAAATCTCCACACATTTTGTTGAAAAATATTGTTGAGTTTTAAAAATTAATATATACCGATAAGTCTATAATACCTAGATAAAAATTTAAGATTATAAATTTTATTTACATTTCCATAACAAAAAAATGAGTTATATAACTCTATGACAATAAGAAACAAATAAAACAAAAGAAACGAGAGTCGTTGGATGATATCTTTTATTGAATTAATTTTTGTTTATAGAGACGTGTAACTCCAACATGAGATTGGGAATATCACGGAGTTTGAGAGTTATTAAAACATGTACTAGTATGTGATTTATGATAATTTCTTNACACTTGCACACAAATAGTATAACCCATTTTCTCAAGCCAAAATATTCTTGTCATCTGTTTTTGTTTTTGTTTTTTTGCTTTTTCTATTTTCCTTTTATTTTCTTTTCTTTCAAGCCTTTCCTCTCCTAGTTTCTTTTTCCCTTTGCTTTTGTTCCATCCAAATTGATAAATGAGTGCACATGAATTATTGTGGATTGATAGATAAAAAGAAAGCCATAGGGTGGTGTGTGTCGTAAAGCCCTCCTCTCCAAGCTTTTCACTCACACATGGAGAGGACCCCGCATTTTATCAATTCTTCCTTTACAATTAAAGAAGGTTCTCTGCAGTGGGCCCACGCCACTTTGCCACATCACTAAATGCTTCAACCATCTTGCCACGTGTCGTGAGCTCATAGGTGGTCCTGTCACATTGTGTGGCAATTCAGTATATGCTTAATTATTTTGATTTTTTTTTAATTTTGTATATATTCTGACATTTGTCTCATACTCTCTCAATCAGGTTCAATTCCAATAGTTTATTAATCACAAGTCACAACTGCTTGATCAAATATATGGTATGATTTGAGTATATTTTTATTTAGCAATGTACATATTTTCAAGATCTTTAAATTGCTTACTTTTTTAAAGATTTTTTTTTTTTTTTTTTTTTTTNTTTTTTTTTTTTTTTTTTTTATGTAAATTTTATGAATCATCTTGCACTTTATGAAGTGGAAAAAAAATAAAACATATTCAAATTAGGTAAGGATAGACTAGCGGTGTGTAATAGATACACACTACATAGTGACAAATCAATGACTGACACAACATAAAATTCGAATACGATTAGAAAACACAATATAGAGACAAATGATATGCACGACGCAACATTGGCACGACCTAGAAAATTTAGATAAATTTGGACTTATTGTCATATTTATGATCAAACACATAGATAACACGATAGTGAAACATGAACGAAAGACACAAATTAGAAAATTTAGTTATATATTGGAATATTGTCATATTTATGTTCAAACAAACATTAACACGATCGTGCCAAATGAACACGACCCAATAACACGATTTGTCCCCCCGCAGTTAAAAATCACGATTATTTATTTATCTCTATTTTCCTAATGGTCTACTCCTTTTACTGGACGACTTAAGTGAACTTTGTATTGTGGTGGTCGATTAGTTTTGGCACTTATTTGACACATAGAACTCTTATATTGGTGGGACTAAAGTTTGGCTTTAGACATGGGACGTCCACAATCCGTTTGGAAGTATTTAAGCAGCTTAATAGAAAATGTATTCAAATTTCAACGATCAAAGAGAAGGAGAAAATCGAACATTTTATTATATTATAAGATTGGGTGTGTCATTCGAGCCTAATTTAGTCTCATAGTTGAGTTTGTGCTCGTTTAATGAACGAGTTGGCTCGAAGCTCGTGAAAACTCAGCTTGCTTGAATTTAATTGTCTGTTCGCAAACAAGTTCAATTGGACCATTTCATTTAAAATCCATAAGAAAAAATGAATTGTTAGCGACTAGTTTAAGTAAACGAACAAGTCGAGCTCGAGCTTTCACGAGTCAAATCGAGTTGTGTTTGTCAGTTGTCAAATTCGTTTGACAATTTTAATGATATGTATGTCAATTTGAAATGCTAATATTTTTTAGACCTTTGCCCGTGAAGTATATATACATAACCACGAATGTAATGTCAATCACTTGTATGCATAAAAAATAATAATAATAAAAAGAAAATACCTCCAATCCTAAGATACATGAAAATGATTAGGGAATTCAAGAGAATCTACTAGCTATGAGTCTCCCTAATAAGTTAAGTGTTTTATATTATATTATGCAAAAACATGATATTTCACTTTGAAATTATTTACCTTGATTAAAAAAATTTGTC